GACCTCGACAGCTGCTGAAGCACTGCTCTCGTTTAGCCGTCACTCGACGCGATTGCAGCGCAAGCCTGTAACTAAGGCGACGATGCTTACACCACTGATAGAACTGCGAATACGTGATTGCGCCGCGAGGAACACTAAGGTCGTCAAAAACGAGGCGAGACGAATGGGAAAACGGTCTCATACCAACAAATAATCCAAGGCCCAAATGATGTAGCCATTGAGAAGAACAACTTCGTCACCACTCATCGTTCGAGTTAGTCGAGATTTTCGTTCTCCATGTTGCCCCCAGATTTTCTATCGTTGCTGTACGCGCCGCATTGAGGAAATCAATATTTTTGACCAACAGCCAAGAGGAGGAACTTAACTGCTGCTTTCTGAAATTCATTTTTATTATGTTTCAGTCATTATAGTCTATATTAGTCGCTGGAAACATTTTTAATGATTTTTCTATAAGTAGCACGTTGATTGCCACGACGATCATCAGTGGCTATAGCGCTTAAATGTTCGAATAAAATAATTGAGATAAGATAAATATCGTCAATAAAAAAATGTTAAATAATGTAGATAACTAAATAATACTATAAAATGAAAAACGCGCTTTTCCACTTCACACACTTCGTTATATTAAGTATAAATCCATAAGAAAAGATGAATGAACGAAAAAAATCAGAGCGGTGATCAAATGTTAAAAGCAATACTCTTATTAATGGTAATGAATAATTAGAAGAAAGTTTAATTGAGAGATACACAAATTATTCCGCAAAATGTAGAATTATCAAAGAAGATATAATTTTGGTGAAAAAAGGTGATTATATCTTTCATTTGATAGGAACACCTGTAATCAATAATTTTCTTACGTTTAAAATCAAATATTTCTATCAATGATAAATAATTAAAAAGAATTTTAATTGATAGAATTATCTAATGGGACATGATTTTTCATAAAAAAGCGTGATTACAAACTAATTATATTCACTAGAAATATTCATAACGATTATTTCTGTGTTTGAAACCAATATTCCTATCAATGGTAACGAATAATTAAAAAGAATTTAATTTGAAA